TAAACAAATAACCTGTTGTACTTTTACGATCAATTCCATCACTATCAACCCAATCAGAGTCAACATACCCACACAAAAGATCTTTATAATTATTTTCAACGTAAGTCAATTTAATATCAGCTGACCCTTTAAGATATCTAAGAACCCTTTTCAGATTTTGCCATAGTTCTTTGTTATTTTTATTTGCGTATCTACTCAAAATATTTACTGGTGTACTTAAATCTGGTCTTGTACATATCATAATATACATCAAACATCCGATCAAGCTTCTACAAGGTGCATCATATTTTTCATCTGAATTTAACGCATCATAATTTAATTTAATTTGAAGGGGTGTACTGACAGATTTGCAATCTCGCATATTGAATTTATCAATAACTGTCTTTATGTATGCACTTTGATTCAATGTTAATTTTCCATTGCTTCTTTCAATTTTAATTTCCAAAAACAATTTGATCTCATTTAAATCTGTCCTACGAAATCTGTTTTTCAAATAATTTTTAAATCTATTCATTGTCTCAATGTTAACAGTTGCAATCACACGATCGTCCACATATAATACCACATATATATTCTGCAAAACATTTCCTCGATCAAGAATGTAAATGCAACGATCGCTAGAAGAATTTCTAAATCCTTTTTCTATAAGAGCTTTTTCAAACATCTCAAACCAACATCTAGCCGCCTGTTTCAAACCATACAAAGCTTTGTTTAATCTGCAAACTTGATTTTTATTACACTTGACTCCATCAGGAACTTTCATATAAATTTCTTCCTTTAATATTCCGTTTAAAAATGCAGTTTTCACATCCATATGATGAATTAATAAGTCATGTTGATTTGAAAAAGCAACAATGAATCTAAAACTTGAAATTCTTGCAACTGGTGCAAATGTTTCATTGTAATCTACCAGATACTCTTGACTGAAACTGCGAGCAACTAAACGAGCTTTGTATTTTTGTGGATTCCCAAATTCATCGTTTTTAATTGCGAATATCCATTTACAATCCATAATATTCTTATTACTTGGCTTCGATACTAATGTCCAAGTTTTATTCGTGATTAATGAATTTATTTCATCTTCTATCGAAGTGGGTATTTTACAAGCAACTGACTGAGCGCACAAGAGGTAATCAATGGGCGTCTCAGTTTCATTATATGAAAGAGGAGGGAATTGTTTAATTCTCTCACTTCTTCTACTCTCGATTTTATCATTTGTTTTCTCTCGACTATTTTCACGTGTCGCCTCCTTGCATCTAGCTGTTTCAATTACAGATTTCCTTATCTTATGATTTTCTATTACTTTTGTATCAATCGGCTCCAGTGTATCTGATTTATCATTATCAGATTTACTTCTCTGCAACCTATCTGATTTATCAATATCAGACTTTTTATTCTTCAAACTATCTGATTTATCAATATCAGATTTTTTATTCAACAATCTATCTGATATATCAATATTAGATTTTCTACACTTCAACCTATCTGATTTATCAATATCAGATTTTCTACTCTTCAACCTATCTGATTTATCACTATCAGATTTATTCAACAAACTATCTGATTTATTAATATCAGATTTTCTACTCTTAAACCTATCTGATTTATCACTATCAGATTTATTCATCAAACTATCTGATTTATCAATATCAGATTTTCTACTCTTCAACCTATCTGATTTATCAACATCAGATTTATTTTGCAGTTCTACTGATTTTGACAATACGTCAGAAACATCAGTTTTATTAGAGGCTTCATTTCGACACACCTCTTTCATCACTGGCCGAGATTTCAAGTAATTTAACTCATCTACAATCACATCTCTTACTGTCAAAAATTTCTCGTGCTCAACATCCCAAATTTTATATCCGTTTAGTTCATAACCAACTAGAAAACCTTTCCAGGATTTTTCATCAAATTTTCGCTTCCTGGTTTTATTATGTATATAAACTGTTGAACCGAAAATTTTCAAATACTTTACTTTAGGCTTTTTACCATGCCACAATTCGAATGGGGTCTTATCAATTTTCAGAGCTTTTGTCGGAGTCAAATTAATTAAATGAGTAGCAGTTAGAACTGCTTCTCCCCAAAAATCTTTCTCTAAATCTGCACAGTTTATCATCGCACGTGCTCTTTCGGTTATCGTTCGGTTCATGCGTTCCGCGACGCCATTTAATTGAGGTGTGTGTGGAACAGTCAAATGATAACTGATCCCTTTCTGCACGCAATAATGTTTCATTTCATTTGATAAGTATTCTGTACCGTTATCACAATATAAATGCACGATTTTTGAATTAAAATGATTTTCACTTTTTGCAATATAGTCTCTGAAAACTGAGTAAACGTCAGACTTATTTTTAATTAAATATGTCACAGTGTAATGTGTAAACTCATCAAAAAATGATATATAATAATTTTTGTTATCTATGGTTGGCGGAGAGATTTTTCCGCAGACGTCTGTGTGAACAATGAACAATGGCCTTTTTACGTAACTCTTATCCTTCGCTTTCTCGAATGGTAAACGAGCTTGTTTACCCATAATACAAGCCTCACACAAATCGTCGTTCGGTATTACCTTTTCGAGATGTCTCGTATCCTGGACCATTTGTTTATTTTTCAGCTCTTGAAATTTAGCCTTTCCTATATGACCTAATCTCTGATGCCACAAATAATAATTATTCCAGTTTACATTATATACTTGAGCATTCACCTTCTTTGCAACTACAAATTCAGCAGCTACTAAATTATTTAAGGGCTTACCGTACATTATTACTTTACCGTCTTTTCTTATCTTTACCCCTTTTTCATCAAAGGTGATACTCATCCCTGCTTGCTGCATTCTCCTTACAGACAGCAAATTGTATGGAACCTCTAGACAGTATAGGACATCTTCGAGGACTGCTTGTATACCCATATTACTCGTCACTTGGATTTTTCCTCTTTTCGTTGCTATGATGAACTCTCCATTTTTCACAACGGAAATTTTTATCGGCGGATGCAGCTCAATTTCACTTGAGAACACATTGTCTTCATTAATAAGGTAATCAGATGCTCCTGAGTCCAATAAAAACAGTAACTTATCATTCTCATATGCTTGATACTCTGCAGTCATGAAAGCGAAACCCGATTTTTCATTGCACTCCGTTTGCATCGTTTGGACTGTATGGAGTGTTTTGTTACGTCCTGCTTTGTATTGTTGATACTTCTTATAGTAGTGTTACGTTCCACTCCTTATAACTATCAATGGCAAAACACATTACTTTCTTCTACACATTATAATCATTTATTCATATAATCATTAATCTAACATATTATTAACGTTACACTAACAATATTAAATATTGTATTTTACCTTGTTAATATTGAACAATGATAAATAAACGGATAGGCCTGAATTTTCTCGGATGACATTCAAAGAGATTCAAATAACGGAGTACGACTTGGTATATTGATTATCGGAAAAGGGTTAGCTATCAATCGATATATTAAGAATTTTGAAGAAGGGGAGTCACATTGACCAATCAGAAGTAGTTTTACTGCTATAAAAAGGGAGCCAGAAGTAGCATTGTGGGTGTGTTTTAGAAACAGATTAAGAGAGCAACATCAGAGTTGTCGAGTGTGTCGTGAGTGAAGTCAAAATATACCAAGTACCTCTAAAACTTATCCAAGTTACCAAAATCAGAGTATTCACAATTACTCGTAACCTTCCCGGATAGAACTGAAGCCGTTGTATAGGGCCTCTATCCATCCTTACTATTTCTAAAAAGGTAGAACTGAAGCCGGATCTAGGGCCTCTACCTTATCCTACCAAATCATTAATACAAATCGAAACTTCGATCAACATTCCATACATCATCAGGACTTGGATAGGACTGATTCACGCTGAACGTCTTAATTGAGATTCGATCGGATACTGAGGGAATTCCAAATATACTTATTATACAAAATCTAAGTAAGTACAGACTTATGCCTAAACGAAGTGGTAGAAAAGTTCAGTTATGTAAAATATTCAGACAATTAAATAAACCATATACTCAAAAACAAACAAAACCAACGAGCCAAAAGGATCTTGTCGCGACTGAATATCAAGTTAACGAACAAAACAATTCTATTCAATACTTACCGTGGAAATTGATTCCTATAGAATTTTCAAGTTTACCAAAAGATTTACCTACCGAAGAATCACTTAAAAATAGAATATTTCCAGATCCGCGGAGACATATCTTGAGAAATTATCACAACTCCAATTAGATATTGTCACGACAGAATATCAAGTTTACCAAAAGATTTACCTACTGAAGAATCACTTAAAAATATAATATTTCCAGATCCGCGGAGACATATCTTGAGAAATTATCACAACTCC